GAAAGAGGGGAAGAAAGAAGAGAGGGAAAAAGAGAAGGAAAAGGAGGGGGAGGAAAAGGAGAGGGGATATAACTCAGAATTGAAGGCAGTCCTTTCCGAGAAAGTGCAGTTAGCATCCTTCCCTGACATACACACAGACTATACTAAAAAACCACAGACCTGCACCAGTTGAAGGGCTGGCAATTGGAACTATGCTGTTACTCGGCTTCTCTCATTACAAATTCAATTGCAATCGATCCATTTTGCAGATAAGGAAACTGAGTCTTAGAGAGGTGAAGTGACAATGAACTACTAAGTGGTCAGGCTGGGGAATCTGCCTGATTCCAAACCATACCTTTCCCCACAGTGCTGCATGGGGCTGAAGTGAGGGAGGCAAGGGGTCCTCTCTAAGAGAAAGGTGGGCCAGATGATGAGAAAGCCCACCCGGAGGACGGACAGCTTTATTCATTCAGTCAGTGGAACATGAGACATACACAAGGAGGTGAGACAGGAACTCAAGAGAAGGTAGAACTAGTTTCTCAGAAAAGGCTTCCAACTAATCTTTCTCCTGCATCCCTGAAATCTTCTCAAGTCTTGGCTACCTGGGGCTAAAGAAACAGGGTTTGGGGCAGAAAGCCTAGGCAGAGATAGGAGGAAACATGGCAAGAAAGGACCCGAGCCCAGACATCTCTGTCTCGAGAGACCCTTGGTCCCCCAGACAGATACCTCCCAAATGCCTCCTATGCGATGCACTAGGTATACGGCCTCACTTAATCCTGAGATGTAGGCATTAGCCCGCATTTTACAGACGAGGAGACAGAGATTCAGGGAGGTTACTGACTGGCCCATTGTTGCAAAGCCAGCTAAGCGGCAGGGCTGGAATTCAAACCCAGGTCTACCTGGCTCCCAAACCCACACAGTGCCATGCTGCTTCTCAAAGTCACCCTGCTGATTCCCCACCGTCATTACCTGTGGCTGGGAAAAGGATGGCCTGGGAGACATCCTCCTCCTCCTCAGGCTCAGAGCCCCCGCGTGTGAAGCCTCCCAAGGCATGTCTTCGGGGTAGACGCCTGGCTCCAGGATCCCCACCTTCCCCAGTCACTGCCGGGGGCCCCAAGGCATCCAGGAACAGGGCCCTCACCTTGGCCAGGATAAGCTCCCGATCCAGCTCTGGTGGCCCATGGCAGCCGTGCCTGCCCTGTGGGGCCAGCAGGAAGAGGAGCAGCAGGGGCAGCTGGGGCACCATAGCTCACCTGGCCCTGCCAACGGGGAACCTGCGCTCTGCCCTGTGCCCCTCTGTTAGGGTGTGACCAGGGCCTCTCCACTCTCCCCTCCCCATCCCACCACCCGCCCACTTCTACCCACTCACCCCAGTCTTCCCCAGTCCTTCCCACGCCCTGTAGTCCAAGTTGCCCCGGCCCATGGCATTGAGACCTCCTATCTCTGACGCAGACGTCTATGGCCCTGAGCCTTATCTCCCACTCCCGCCAGGAATGTGGGGAAGGGGGCTGGGGAGGGCTTTCACCCCAAGTGACCTGACCCACGCATACAGACATACAACTCCTTCCCCCTACACACACACACACACACACGCACACACACACACACATACACACATGCTGTGTGTGAGTCTCACATCCCAGCACCCAGCAAAGAGATGACATCGGGTGGGACAGGAGCCTGGGAGATGGGGTCGG